ACGCGAGCCACCGGCAGGCCTCGCCGCCGCAGTTCAGGGATCTTCTCCTGCACGAAGAAATAGTAGGCATTCCGGGTGGCCTTGCGGTTCGGCATGGCGAACGCGGCCAGGCTTCGAGGGACCTGAGTCAGCACCAGCCACCGGCGCCCTCGCCGGGCTCCCGCCCTTAGTAACCGAGGCTGCGCCTGCGCACGCAGCTCCACAGCCCTTGGCCAATCAGGGCGCAGCGCGCAGCCGCATTGGCCAAGCTGGTGGAAAAAGAAGTGTGAGACATAAGATCCCTCCGCGAGCGGCGGTGGGGGCGGAGCCCGGTCGTGGGTGTGAAGCATTCTGATTGGCTGGGATGAGCCGTGGCCGGGTGTGGTCACGTGGAAGGCGTGGAGCAATCTCTGGGCATTATTGCGTAACATAGAACCCAGCAGGGAGAGAAAGAGGGCCCGCGAGTGCTCCAGTCCCCCCAAGTTTTGCGACTAGGAGGGCCTACTGTGCCAAGCACTGTGCAAGGTATCTGTAGGGGACGAAGTGAGGACCCTTGCAACCAAAATCTTTTTCCCCAAGAAACTTACAGCGCATCGCGTCTCGGCCTTTTGGCTAAGATCAAGTGTAGTATCTGTTCTTATCAGTTTAATGCCTGATACGTCCTCTTTCCGAGGACAATATATTAGTGGAATAGGAGCTTGCTCCGTCCACTCTGCGCATCGACACGGTATTGCAGTACCTCCGGGAATGGTACACACACATACAAAAGAAAAAAGGGGGGAAAAAGAAATTTACAGTGTAAAGGGGGGGAAGATGACAAAACCAATATTGTTTTGTTTTTCACCTTTCTTAATCAAGTAACATTTATTGTTGCAAAGAATATGTGTTTTTTTAAATGCAGTTTTTAGTAAGTATTAGGAAACACAGTAAGAGGCTGAGATTTAAAATAATGTCCTTGAATAGGACATTATAGGTTTTATAGATTTCCTCATAAAGGTCTGGTTAATTTTTTGTTAGTTTTGTTCCTGGAGTATATTTGTTCTTAGTATTTCACAGTATACTACTATGAAAACTTGTTTCCATTATATTTTCTAATTGGTTACAGCTGGTGTGTAGAGACGTATTGATTTTACTGTTATTATTGTGCATTTAGTCACCTTGCTGAACCCCTCAGCTGGTTTCAAAAATTACAGTCTATTTTGCTTCAGTCAGTGGCTATTCATACATTTTTAAGATACTTGTCTTAAAACATTTTTATAACAAGCTATGCAGTTAAGACGTATCCATACGCACTCTTCCCAAATAGATAAGCAGCTTAGAAAATTATTGCTTCCTCACACTTGGTCTCCCAACCTGCAGTAGGCAATTAGGTAGGAGCCGTGTAGGAACCTTAGGCCAGGTGCAGAGGTTCACCAGGGTGGAGAGCCCTGGGTGCTTAGCAACCAGCAGAACTACAAGCCCTTGTAGGACCACTCCCCTAGTGTTAATCCCTGGAAGATGACATCTAGGCTTCAGCTGTGTTTCAGCTCTGAGCCCAGAGAAGCAACAAGCAAAATCGGAGTGACACAGGGCTGACATCAGGACCAGATGCATTGACTAGGGACCCCCTGGTGCTGACCACAAGGGGGCCTGTCTCACCAGGAAAGCTCACGAATGTTCTATTGGGATTCTCCCTTGAGGCCTCCAGATAAAAGCCCTTGGTTCAGGGACAGAGTGCAGCTGTTTCCATGGAGCACACCCTGGCCTTTCCCCGTCCCCTTCTCCCAGAGGCCTTTTCCTTTCCTCTCTTTTCTAAAGCTCCAAGGGCCTTTCTTTTGCCTCTGTAACTTGTTGCCTGAGCCCATTTCTTCTATGGATCGCCTCTACCTCTGTGATTTTCTAAATAAACTTGCTCATATAGTTTGAGTCTTGTCTCTGAATTCTTTCTTAGCCAGAACTCAACTACTGAGGTTGCTGAACTCCCCTGCGGACTAACACCTGGTTCTGTTCAGCCACCCACAAACCCACTTGTCCACCACCACACTTCCATTTCCAGTGTTGTTTTAGTTCCACGTTGCTTTCTTATAACAGTGCTGTGACACAATTGAAGGACAATAAATTGAATATATCTAAAGCATACAATTTCATAGGGCTTAACCACCTGTGCAACTAACTATGAAACCATCACCAACCAGTTTCCTCCTCACCCCCTTCAGCTGCTTGACGTTACCCACCATTTACTGATGTTCTGTTTATTTTTTCCTTTAGGCTCTTTTCTCTATTTCATTTTCAGTTTCTATAGCTATTTTTCATGTTTACTAATCTTTCTGCCATCTCTAATCTATTAATCCCACCTAGTGTATTTTTTGTATCAGATCATTCAATTTTCATTTCTTGAATTTCATTTGAGCCTTTTTATATCTTTCATATTTTTACTTAAGTGGTCTATATTTCCTCTACTTTAACATGGTTAGAATAGTATATGACATAGTTGTAATATGGAGTATAGTTATAATTATTTAATGTCCTTGTCTACTCATTCCACCATCTGTATCATTTCTGGGTCTGTTTCTACTGATTACTTTTTCTCCTTATTATGGGCTGTGTATTGTCCAGCTTTTTTACAAGCTTCGTAATATTTGCTTGGGTGACCAAAATAAAATTCACCCTGTTGAGTGCTGCATATTTTTGTCCTCTCCTTAGAATTCTTGTGCTTTGTTCTGTGTCAGAGTTATGTTATCTGGAAACAGTTTGAGTCTAGATTTTTCTTCTTTTGTGGCTAGCTTTTATGCTTTGTTATTTGGAATCAGAGCAACCTTTAGGACTAACATTCTCCTCTGCTGACATAGCACCCTTCTGAGTACTGTGCCTGACAACCCATGAGTTTGGAGATTTTCCTACTTTGGCTGATGGAAACATTATTTATAGCGCTGGGTGAATTTCAAGGATTGTTCCTTCTGATCCTTTCAGGTTTTCTTTCCATGGCACTGTGTGGTTTCCTCCCACATATTCAGCGGGAGGTTCAGGGAAGAGCCTCCGTGGACATCCAGAGCTCTTTCTTTGCGCTGCTCTCTCTCTTCTGGCACTCCGCCCTGCACACGCTGGCCACTGTGGCTCCTAGACACCCAACTCTACTTCCTCATCCCAGAAAGACCTAGGAGCTCTGCCTGACTTACCCCTCTTGATGCTGCCTTCTGGATACTGCCTGCAGGTAGCAACCTGGGGCAATCGCTGGGCTCACCTTTGTTTATTTCTGTTCTTTCAGGGATTCCTCACCTCTACTCCCTCATTGCCAATGTCTGAAAACATTGGTTCATATATTTTGACCAGTGTTTAGTTGTTTCAGGCTGCTGGATAAATTCATTTGAAACGCAGCTAGTCATGAGAAGAAATGAAAGAAGAGCATATGTTAAGGACTGAGGCAATAAAGAGTTTGGTGTATCCTGAGAACAGACAGGAGACTGGTTTGTGTCCAGTCAGTGGAGAATGATACGTGCTGAGGACGGAGTGATCAGCAGGTCTTTGGGCATGGCCAGTGTTGGGCTTAAGTATTATTCTAAGTACATGGGTGGTCATGTAAGGTTTTTAAAGAACATGTGATATGGTTCATAGTTTAGATCAGTCTTGATGCTAGTTGGAGAATAGGTTCAAAGCTGCATGAATGGACATAGGGACATGAGGTAGGAGGTGCCTTCGGGAGTCCAGTGAGAGATGATGGTGACCAAACAGAGAAGAAGCAGTAAATGTGGAGAGAAGAGGGTGGCTTCAAACTGTGCTTTGTGGAAAACAGAAGAGGCTGATGGATTGGAGGTGGACGTGAGAAAAAGTAGGAATCCTAAGGTTTTGGTTTGAGTAACCCAGTGGCCGGTGGTGCCTTTTTCTAAGAGAGTGAGGACTAGGGGAGGAAGACAGTACTAGCGAAGAATGTCCAACACTCCCAGTGATACCTACGACCTGCTCCTCTCCTTCTTTGATAAAACTGATTTTTTTCAGTCTTCCTTAAATAAAGTCCTCCATAAACAGAACAGTTTCCCCCTCATTTCAGCCAGATCAATCTTTCTGTTCAGGAATTCTGGAGGGTTGCAGGTGTTTGTTGGGTGTGCATAGCAGGGGGAGGGAGAGGGGGAGGGTAGGGGAAGGGGAGTCCAGAATTCAGTTATGAACATGCTCATTTTGAAATACCTGTTATACAGTCCAGTGGCTATCTGTGTCTGGAGTTCTGGGCTAGAGATAGATTTTGGAAGTAAGCCACATAAAGACGGTAACGTTATAGGAATGGATGAGATCATGTAGGGTGAGGGTAAAGAGAGAGGGGAAAGGATCCAAGATGGAGCCCTGAGGAACACAGCACTGAGAAGCCAGTTAGAAGAGGCTTACCCAGTAAAGGTGACTAAGAAGGAATATCTGAAGAAGCAGGGAGAGCCGGCTGGAGTGGCTCAGTTGGTTGGACATCATCCTGTGCAACAAAAGGTTGCCAGTTTGATTCCCGATCAGGGCACATACCTGAGTTGCAGGTTTGCTCCCCAGTCAGGGCATGTGCAGAAGGCAACCGATGTCTCTCTCACATCGATTTCTCCCTCCCTCCCTCTTTCCCTTTCCCTCTTTCTTCCACTCTCTCTAAAAATCAATGGAAACGCATGCTCTGGTGAGGATTAAAAGAAGAAGAAGAAGAAGCAGGGACAAAACCAGGAAAACAGGAGAATGGAGTGTTTCCAGGAGGAAGCACTGCTTTCATTCAATGGGTATTTATTACATCTACTGAGCACCAGACCCTTTTTTAGGCATAATAATAACTTGAATAGAACAAAGTTTGTAGTGTGGAAGGAAGGCAATAAAAAATAAACAATTATGTATATAAGACATCTTATTGGACAATTAAGTCCAGTGAAGAAAAATGGTGCAGAATAAGGGAACAGGGACCTATGGAAGGTGTAATTTTAGGGTGGTCAGAAAAGGCCCTATTTGAGGAAATGAAATTTGAGCAAACAACAGAAGGAAGCGAGGAAGCAAAACAGGAGGATGTCAGGCAAAGAGCATGCCAGTCAGAGGAAAGAGCAAGTGCAAAGACCATGGTGGGCTTGTGTCAAGCATGTTTCGGGAACAGCAAAGCATGCCTGTGGCTGGAGTGAAGGAAGTG